TTTATTTCTAAGAAGAGAAGTCAGTTTATCACATTCTGCTAAAATTTAGCAGTTTGGTCAACCATTCATTTACAGATGGGATAATACTTGTAAGCCAGTCTGATTCCTGAGAAAATCGGGATATAAAAGTTTTAAATAAATAAATAAATATTTTCTTTCCAGTGTCGGGCATAAACTATTTGAGCAGCTGTTATAGTATTTTGAAAGAAAATAATATTTTCTTTGTTAATGAATTCATTTACCAGTCCTAACAAAATTATTACTGTTGAAAACAATATATTCTGTTGTAAAATTATTTGGATTGTTTCTTTAATAGCTGCCCAATATGCATGGGCTTTATGACAGTTCCACCACATGTGGAAAAAAGTCCCTTCTTTTCTCTTAAATTTCCAACATTTATTATCCATTATTTTGTTTTTATTCATCTTGGCAAGTTTTATTGGAGTGATGCACCAGCTGTAAAATATTTTATAGATAAAAAACCTTTTTTATGGTAAATTGGTCAAAAGACATGGGTCATAAAATAAATATGGGAAGGAATGTGAAACAATGGCCTCAAATTTACAAAGGCAAATGAATTGAAAAAAAAACTTCAATTGTTCTGATTTAGAAGGGACAGTCCTGATTAATCCTCTGTCATCCCACTTTCTCAGATGCTTTACCTCTTCCTTCCACTTTCCTGCGTTGTCCTCACCTTACCTCAATTGTGGCAAACTGTTCAAAGCACAAACTTTATTTATTTATTTATTATTTACCGCTTTTATATTCCGCCCTTCTCACCCTGCAGGGGACTCAGGGCGGATTACAGTGTACACATATATGGCAAGCATTCAATGCCATTTTTTTTAATTAAATAATCTTTATTCAGTTTTCAAATACAGTTAAAAAAATAAAAAAAATAAAACTTTGTAGCGAAGGCTAATAGTAAGAAAAATATAGAGTGTGTGTATATATCAGTTCCCCGAAATATGAAATGATATAGTGACTAAAGGATAATAGACGAGAGAACCAGGAGAGATAGAGAGATAGCAAGAGAGGGAAAAGAGGAGAGATGTAGCCCAAAAGCCCCATATAAGGCAATAATAATATAGAAAAAAGAAGAAAAAAAAAGAGTTTCTTGCTTTCGACTTCCCGAGGTTTTCATAGGGTCTTCTTTGTCGTTAATCCAAACCTCCTCCTCTTCTCCTTCCCTTTCTTCTCTCCTCGTCTTCTTTCTCCTCCTCTTCCTTCCCTCCAACTCTTCTTCAATTATGTCAGGATTTTTTTGTTCCTTTGCTTAAAATAACCCGTCACTTTTTCCCAGTTTGTTTCCTTCATTTTTATTCCTTTACTTCTTGTTATCAGAAATGTAAGCCGGTCCATATTTCTTACTTCCAAGATTTTTGTGAGTCTCTCATTTTCGTCTGGCYTGTCTTCCTGCTTCCATCTTCTAGCATAAGTTATCCTTGCTGCTGTTGTTAACATAAACAAGATCTTATCAATATTCTTTTCTATTTTCAAATCGTGAATCCCTAGYAGAAATAAKTCTGGCTTCCATGGTATTTTAATTTGTAGCATTTCTTGTAATTCTTTTTGGACTTCCCTCCAGTATTTTTTGGCCTTTTTACAGGTCCACCATGTATGAAAGTACGAGCCTTCCTTTTCTTTACATTTCCAGCACCTTGTGCTGGTACTACTATTGCTCACCCCTAATTTTTTCGGCGTTATGTACCATCGATGCGCCATCTTAAGCCAATTTTCTTTCATGTCAGTGGCGTAACAGTATCTTAGTTTTTCTTTCCAGATTTTTTCCGATTCCTCTTGCTTAATATTTCTTCCAATATTTTCATCCCATCTTTTTTTGTAATTTTTTTCTCCCTTTGCTTCCATTTTCCATTCTAGCAGCTTTTTATAAATCTTCGTTATTAATTTTCTTTTTGACTCCATTATATTATCCCAAAAATTTTTGTCCAGATTAAAACCTATCGTTTTAMCCTTCTTATACCTTTCCTTTATCGTCCAGTATTCTAGCCATGATACCTTCTGCTCCACTGTGTTTAGTTCTTCTTGTGATTTTAGCGTCATCTCCCCTCTTTCCATTTTTAGTAGGTCTTTATACTTTAACCATTCATGCCAGCCTGTGCATCTTCTTTGTCCCGCCTCTAGAGGGGACACCCACATCGGTGTTTTGTTGTATAATCTATTTTTATATTTTTCCCATATGTTCAGAACTGTTGATCTTACGAAATGGTTGCCAAAAATTTTTTCGTTTTTTTTCCCTTTATACCAAACGTATGTGTGCCAGCCTTCTCTCAGGTCCGACCCTTCCAATATTAATAATTTCTTCTTTTCCAATTTCGCCCAATCTTTAGCCCAAATTAATGCATTCGCTTCCAAGTAAAGCTCCAGATCTGGTGCCGCCATCCCTCCTTTTTCCTTTTTTTCCGTCAGATTATCATAACTAATTCTCGGTTTCTTATTTTTCCAAATAAATTTCCTAATGTCTTTACTTCAATCCTTTAAGATTTTTTTGTTTCGTATTATTGGCAAGTTCTGAAATAGAAAAATCAGCTTTGGCAAAACTGCCATTTTCACTGTGGCTATCCTGCCGAGTAGCGAGAGGTTGTAATTCTTCCACTTTTCCAAGTCCTTCCTTATCTCCTTCCACTTGTCTATATAGTTGTTCTGCAGCAGGTGTAGATMCCTTGATGTCAATATTATCCCTAGATACTTCAACTTATTCACTATTTGTATGTTCCATTCCTTATTTAGTTCCTCTTGTTCCTTTTTTCCAATGTTTTTGGTTATTGCTTTTGTTTTCTCCATATTAATTTTAAATCCTGATACCATGCCGAATTCTTTTATTATTCTTATCCATTCTCTCAAGTTATTCTTTGGATCTTCAATTACACATATTACATCATCCGCGTATGCGCGGATTTTAAATTCTTGACCTTGTACCTTTGCACCAACCAAGCTTTTTTCCTCTCTTATCTTATTTAATAATACTTCTAATGTCAATATAAAGATTAAAGGCGATAGGGGGCATCCCTGTCTCGTTCCCTTCCTTATTTCAATATTCTCTGATTCTTTCCCATTCACCAGAATTTTTGCTTTTTGTTCCTCATATATGGCCTCAATCGCATTTTGGAAATAAAATCCCAGATCCATTTCTTTCATTATAATTTTAAAGAACTTCCAATTTACATTGTCAAACGCTTTCTCCGCGTCTAGCGCTAGCAACATTACTTTATTTTGGTGTTTATTTTCATAATATTCAATCAGATCCACAACCGTCCTCACATTTTCATTTTGATGCCTATTAGGTAAAAAACCTACTTGTTCTTCCTTTATATATTCGTTGAGTACCCATTTAAGCCTTTCTGCCATTATCAAGCTGAAGATCTTGTAATCTACGTTCAACAACGAAATTGGTCTGTAGTTTTTTACTTGTTCTTTATCTGAGTTTTCTTTATGTATCAAACATATATTCGCTTGCTTCCATGTTTCTGGGATTTCCTTGTAGATTCTTATTCTGTTCATCATTTCTTTTAGATAAGGTACTAATTCCTGTTGGAAGGTTTTATAATAAATTGCCGATATTCCATCCGGTCCTGGGGCTTTGTTTGATTTTAATTTATTTATTGCATCTCTAATTTCTTTCTCTGAGATTTCTTTATTTAGACTTTCCCTTTGTTTTTCTGAAATCCTTTGAATCCTGTGATTGGTTAGGTAACTGTAGATTTCCTCTTCTTCTATGTTTTCCTCCTGATAGAGTTTCTTATAAAATCCATGAAACTGTTCTCTTATCTCCTCTTCTTGAGTTATACTTCTCTCATTATCTCTCACTTTCGTGATATATATTGTCTCCTTTCTTTTCCTTATTTTGTTCGCGAGCCATCTTCCCGGCTTATTCGCGTTCATAAAGAAGTTCTGTCTTAAATATCTCAACTCCTTTTCTCTTTCCTCTATTTCCATAAATTCTCTCTGTTTGTGCAAATGTTCTAATCTTTGTTTTGCCTCTTTATTCCTTGGATTAGCCTTTAAATTACCTTCCTCTTCTTCAATTTCTTTAGATAGGTTCTTCATTTTTCCATCTTTTTCTTTATTTCTTCTTATCTTCTGCTGTATGAAATTCCCTCTCATGACGACTTTGCTCGCCTCCCAAAGTGTGAAGATTTTCGTTTCTGGTCCATCATTGATTTCAAAATATTCTTTTAATAGCTTTCTGCTTCTTTCTATATCTTCTTCTTTCTTTAGCAAATTTTCATCCAGCCTCCATCTTTTTATCCTTTCCATTATTTTTATTTCTAATTCCATCGGGCAGTGATCCGAATTCGTTCTGGGGAGAATTTGTATTTTTGAAACATTTGTTTGTAGTGATGATGTTATCCAAATCATATCTATCCTGGACCAATTTTTGTGTCTAGGTGAGTAATAAGTGTAATCTTTTTTCCTCTCATTTCTACTTCTCCATATGTCCACCAGGCATAGATTCCGCATCATCTCTGTCATTGATTTTGGGAGATCTCCCTTCTCATTATTCCCCTTTCCCACTTTTACTTTTGTTGTACTTCTATCTAGGGCCTTATTTAAAACACCATTAAAGTCTCCTAACATTATCATTTGCTCCGGCTCTTGTTCTTCTATGCTCTTCCTCAACTTCTCTGCAAATTTTGTTTTCGAATTGTTCGGAGCATATATGTTACATATGAGTATTTTTCTATTTTGTAGCCAGATGTTCACCCCCAGAAACCTTCCTTCTTCATCCTTAAAGGCTAATTCTGCCTTTATATTATTATCTACATATGTAGCTAGCCCCCTCTTTTTTTCCTGTATTGCCGCATAGAATGCTTGGCCAAATTTTTTATTATCCAAATGTTTTGTGTGTCTGCTCATAACATGTGTTTCTTGGAATGCAATAATATGGTACCCTTTTTTCTTTAATCCATTAAAAATTTTATTTCTTTTATTCGGGGAGTTCATCCCATTAACATTATTAGAGTAAATTCTTAAGTCGTTCAACATGCTTTTTCTTCTTCCTCCCTCTCTCTTGTTGCCTGTTCTTCTCCTTCTAGTTCTTCTTCCTCTTCCTCCTCTCTTAATTCCTCTTCCTCTATTTCTTCCCCTTCCGAGTCACTTAAGTCCAGTACTCCCGCACCTTCTTCCGACATTCTTCTTAATTCCTCCTTTTCTTCCTTCTCCATTTCTTCTTCTTCCATCGAGTCTGTGCGTTTCTTCTTCTTTGTCCTTCCTTCTGCGTGTTCGCCTTTCTCTCTCTCATTATCCAGTTTTATTCTGTTTAGGAATTCCTTAGCGCTGTCTTCACTCTTAATCCAGAATCTTTGCTCCTTATATGTCAGCATCAGTCCTTCTTCTCTTTCCCATCTAAACCGTATATTTTGTCTCTTTAGTTCTTCCGTCAGCAATGCGTATTTCCTTCTTCTTTTCAACACTATTCCGGGGAGTTCCTTCAGTATAACTATCTTCTTTCCTTTATAACAGATCCTTCTTCTATTATTCATTCTCAAGATGTCATCTCTTGTCGTCTTCTTCACAAAATGTACTATCACATCTCGTGCCGTCCTATTTCTTCTTGCAAATCCTGTGTTCACTCTGTAAATTCTATCTGTCCGTTCCTGCATTTGCTGTCCCGTGCATTCCATTAGCTCTGCCAGAATTTCTATCACCTTTTCTCTTATATTCTCATTCGCATCTTCCTGAATGTTCCTTATTCTTAATTGGAATTCCATCTCTTTTGCTTCTAGTTCTTCCTGTTTCGCCTCCATTCTTGTACTTTTTGTTTCGATGTTCTTCACTTTTATTCGCATTTCTTCTTGCCTTTTCTTAATGTCTTCTTCTCCTGTCTTCCGTTCTTTCATATCTTGTTGCATTGTTGACATCTCTAATTTTAGTTTTCCAATTTCCTCTCTTATATCCCTTTTCAAATCCGTCATCTGTTCTTGTGCAATTTTCTGATATATGTCTTGTCTTTCTTTTATTGTTTGAACTTCAGTTTTCATTGTCTGTATTTCTGTCAGAACTTCTGTCATCATTTCTTTCATCATTTCCTTTAAATTCATCTCCTCTGTCACCGACATTTTTCTTGGTGTCCCTTTTGCTTCCTTGCCCTCTTTTTCTCCTTTCTCTCCTTTCAGTTTGTTGGCTGCCATTGTGGATTCCAGTAGTCTTTTTATGCCCCACCACTCTCTCATATGTTGCTTTTCTTTTTCCTCTCTTCTATTATCTATTTTTCAGTCACTGGTGTCTTGTCAATGCCAATTTTTGACATAAAAAAAAACCAGACATACACAGAGGCTATTTAACTTTTTCTGGCTGCCAGGGGAGCTGTCGCTTTCATCGTCCATCTGCGATGCTGATGAAGCACTTCCGCATTCCCCGCATGCTTCCCCGCTGGAATGCTTTGCTGGAGTCTTCTTTTTATGGCCTCATAAATCAGTTAATTTAGCCTCCCCACACTTTAAGGTGGTACCTAATTTTCCTACTTGACAGATGCAACTGTCTTTCGGGTTGCAAAGGTACACACAATTGGTTGGAAACCCACTCCAACCCGGGCTGGCTTCAAACTCATGACCTTTTGGTCAGAGTGATCTTAATGCAGCTGACACTCACAATCCCGGTGTACTTTGTACACAATTACTCAGCAGAGGCGAGAGGAAAGAAGGGGGACAAAAACGATTCGTCCTCTTCTAACTTCTCTGTTCTTCCTCATTAGTAACTTTTGCCATCTTGACAACATAATGATGTTGCTCAGTCATGGTGTCCCATATTTTTGTGAAATGTTAGAGAGTCTGAGCAAAATATATTGATTATTTTCAAAAAAAATTAAAAATCTAGCATTAATGAAAATAAAAATATAATACTCTTTATGTTTTTTAAAAGCTTCTCAAACCATTTCCATTCAAATGCTAATGAAGGTGATCAGCTAAACATTCACACCTAACTGCAGCAGGGAAGAGCTCCTTGCCCCACCCCAGCCATTCCACAGATATATAAACCCATTTTTCCTACTTCCAACAGACCTCACACCTCTGAGGATGCTTGCCATAGATGCAGGCAAAACATCAGGAGAAATGCCTCTAGAACATGGCTCTATAGCCCGAAAAAATCGACAATACATTTCCATTTTTCTATTTGATTCAGGATTTTTAAAGTGCATAAGATAACCATTTCGGCTGTCAATATAAAGATTTTGACATTGCCTAGATTATATTGTCTTCTTTTTTTTCTATAGAATTAAAGACCTTCATCTTAACATCTATTCCTTTCCCTAAAGCAACACCTATAAATGTGCAGCAGTGTTCTTTAAATGACCTGTTCAAGGATTCACTGCAATGAAGTTCTCTCCAAGAAAAGAGGTGTCTCTAAATATATCTAACAGGACTAAAATTGTTCTATAGCACTATAGCCTCTTGAGATACTACAAAGCAAATTCTCGATGTCACTTCTTCTGTGTTTTTTTAAATGAAATTCAAGGCCAATAAAACTCAAAGTCATCATTAAGGTAACATAACAAAGAATAAATTGTGCTTTAGATGAAGTCAGAACATTTTAAAAGTTATGATCATGTATTTTTGAGCCTAGACATAATTGCCCATTTTCTAACTGTTCACACATACTTCTTAACATGTATGACTAAATGCCAGCTGACAACCATACCTTAATTATTCTAGTTTCTGCTACACATAGCAATGAGGTGATACTGCAGTTATGAAGGAGCAGGAAATATATAGCAAATAGTAGCAAATTGAAGGATTATGGGAAATAGGTCAAAAGATTCAGATTTCCATAATGTATGCACTTCATAGGTGTGCTGAAGAACTATGCCTTTTGATGTGCCTCAAGAATCTTATTTCTCACTTTATCCTATTAGTTCAGGTATGGGCAAACTTTGGGCCTCCAGGTGTTTTGGACTTCAATTCCTACAATTCATAAGAGTCAGTAAACTGGCTGGGATTTCTGAGAGTTGAAGACCAAAACATCTGGAGGGCCAAAGTTTTCCCATGTCTGCCTTAGTACATATGGAAACAGCACATGACACAGTTATGGACACTTGCCATGTAAGGCTAAACCAGGGGGGAGGCATGCAAACATTGCTTCAAATGTAGCAGCACATCCAGAAACAAGTTATCCCTTTGTGAATCCAGTGTAAGAGTAGAAGAGGGTTGCAACTGAATTTGGTAGAATGCACTTACAGGGCCTTTCTACACCTGCCCTAAAATGCAGAAGAAACTGGAATAAATGAGGGCAGAAGTAGCTAAATGACATTTCATGAAAATGTAGGCTGATTCTGATTAACAGCTGAAAAACATGTGTCAGAAGGGTGTGCTGAAAACTTAATTTTGACTGGAAAATATGCTTATTCAGATCACTGTATATCAATGCAGTCAAGGAAAACACATGATTTCATTAATATACCCTGGTGTGGACTGCTGCAGAATATGTGCACATTTTAAAATCTCAAAACAGCTGATCTGGGTTATAAACAAATGGAGCCAAGGACACACAAGTGGCTAAATGGAAGCACAAATGGAAAGCAATTACATTGAGAACTCTCAGCAACCATTCCTTCATTCTGATCTTTATGAAATTAAACAGAGCTTGAATTTACAGTAGGGTGAGGAGAGATAATAAGAAATAAGCTTGTGTTTACATTTAGATATGCACATGAGCACATATGATGTCCAGCACATCTTGAAGAGTCAATTTTTAAAAAGTAAACTTCTACCAGATGTTCCCATCCATCTTGCAGATTTCTAAAATTTGCTATAAACAAAGGTGTCAAGACAGTGGGGAACCATTTATCAGGGCTGACAGGTCTTTATTTGGACATGCTGTTAGGTCTGTGACTTTTTCCCCATTTATTTGTCCCACATTTTGATACTGTCTAGAAGCCCCCATAGAGTTACAGTAATGCAGAACCTGACTATTCAATTGATTGCAATTACAGATCCCTCTTCAGACCTTTGCATTCAAGTTATTCACTCCAGAGGGATAAGTGGGTGACTTTGAGTACCTAGGGCAGTGGTTCTCAACCTGGGGTCCCCAGATGTTTTTGGCCTACAACTCCCAGAAATCCCAGCCAGTTTACCAGCTGTTAGGATTTCTGGGAGCTGAAGGCCAAAAACATCTGGGGACCCCAGGTTGAGAACCACTGACCTAGGGATTATTTCATATATATGGGCTGCTGTGTGATATCTAAGCAGCTGATTCTAAACAGCTGTGTCTCTCTTCCCAAGTCTTCATCTTCCCGAATGGGTAGTTTATCTAAAAGCAGAGGCAGGCACTGGCAGTAGGTCAACAGTGAAGGACTGCCCTTAAATAAGTGACATCAAAAGGTCATCACTTTGAGAAACAGAGGGACAGAGGCACAATCTCTTCTTAAATAATTTAGAGAAGTAGACCTTGGGTGAAAATCAGGGTCTTGAAAACATTCAGGTACAGGACAATGTCAGGCATTCTTGTGTCATACTGGACTGGTTCTGAGAGATGGTTGTAGAAAGAATTGTTGTCGTCTGTTCCAGATCCAGAGAGTAGAACTGATGATTCCTGTTCAGTTCTATGACAATTAAACTGTGGGGTACAACACAGTTTAATCCTATCTCCCATGCACTTCAATAACCTATGTTGCTTGAAAAGATCACTGGGAGCTTCGGAGGTCTATTTTTTATTGTCATTACAGCCAAAAGAGGCTATAGAAGTGCTAGACCAATGACTTGATGCAGTAATTCGCTGGATGAGGGCCAATAAACTGAAACTGAATCATGATAAAATAGAGATTGTGGATTGGTAGCTCTTGTGTTCAAGGGGAAACAATTGACTATACAGTGGAACCGCTACTTACAAATGTCCCAATGTACGTATCTTTGATGTACAAACTGTCACTTGGCCTGTGTTTGTTTTAACACATATATCCCTTTTTGACCTATGATCAGCCCAGAAGGAAAGCTCACATGAGAGTACAGTGCCACCTCTTCCCTCTTCTTCTTCTTAGTTCCTCTGCCCCCCAGTCTATGGTCCTCCTCTCCCACAGCAGCTCAACCAGCTGGCCTGCCTGTCTTCTTTCTCTCTTTCTCTGTCTGCCTCCCCTTCTCTCCTTGTGCCCTTGTGGTGGCAGTAGTGAGGTTACTTTCCCTCTCCCTCTCTCTGTCTCTCCCTCTCTCCATTGGTCTTCCTCTGGCGGAAGAGGAGGAGCCACCAAAGACCACAAGCAGGCCCTGCCCTGCACTGGAAAAAAAAGGGGGGGGGGGGTAACAGAGATAAGCCAAATAATGATCTCTGTTATTTTCCCCAATTTCATGCTAAATCACTAGACCAGCATATATGAACATAAATTTTCTTGTGTTTGGAGCATACATAGACTCTTTCTGTCTCTGATTGTATGACTAAATATTACGGGACCAGTGCTTGGTTTTATAAGTCTATCTTGAAATTTTACATTAACATGACAAAATTTTAATTTTATAACACTATAACACACTACCTTGTCAGGGTGTTATTGCATTGTAATTATGCTTCCATATATTGATTTTATAGCACAAGGGGACTTTTTCCAACCATTTTCATATTAGAAATGCACTTAATGGCAGTGGCTAGAAGGTTCACTCCTCACATTTTAAAAAGCATTATGATATTATAGTGTATTACGACTTACTGCATGCTTTCAATTAATTGCGTTTTCTCTAATATTTGAATATTTTAAAGCAAAATTATAGCCAACTATGATTTTAGCTAAAAAGATAATAACAGGGAGACCAAGAGTACCCGTCATACAGTTACAGCCATAACGTTATAACAAAGGCCTGCTAAACTTAGATTTGCCAAATTTTGTATGTCACTGCTCCCAGAAAACTCCAACAAGTGTTAGGAGCAGCATAGCAACTGGGTACCACTGATCATTCCAAATAAAAGTGAACATGGTGCCATCTGATTAAGAAGAGCACAAAGTACTTCAAAGAAGAGAATTGGGCTAGAACGATTGCCCAAGATTTATTTTAAAAAGGAAGGATAATTTTAAAATCGCAACTAGAAATGAAGGAAATAAATGATAAAATATCATGGTTTCAGATAGACAGATTTGGGAATGCTTCAAAATAGATGAAAGGTTAGGATTCGCGGAACAAAAGACTTTTTGGGATTTGATGATACAATC